GGGACAGGGACAGGAAGAATCCAAGAGGTCAGGAGGGCAGCAGGCCTGCAGGAGCAGGGAGGGCCCCTGGGGGGACCCCTGGCACCCGCTGGTACCACAGTGTCAGCCAGCTCTGGGGGGGGCCTCACTGGCGTGGGCACAGACCCTGCATGTTACACCAATCCACTTCCGTACACACGGGAGGGCCCCCCAGGGCCCCACTGTCCCGCTTGCCCCCCATCTTTCTCAGGTGCGGCTGGCCCAGCCAGGGGAAATGCCTGGTTGGACCCGCTCTTCCCCGCCTCTCCTACCCCCCCAAACACTCCAAGGCTCCTGAGGTCACAGGGGGAGGGGCAGGGGAGCCAATAGGCGTGGTGGGGGGGGACCGGGGGGGCGCTCCTCAGAGCCCGCTCCCTTTCATCCCCCGCCACAAAGGGCCTGGCCGCCCCAGTCCCATCCATCTTGTGCCTGTGGCGGCCCTTTGTCGGGACCTCAGGTCAGAGGGCCTGACCAGCACGCCCCCCTCCTCTGACTCCCACCCCTGAGGCCCTCAGTTCCCTCCCCTGCTGGATTCCCCCTCCTCCCTGACCCCTGTGTCCCCTCTGCCAGGCTCCTCCTGGCCTCTCCCTCTCCTCAGCTCCCTGGAGGTTCTAGAGGCTTGGCTCTTCTTGCTGCACACGGGCGGGAGCTGCCTTTGGGATCTGGGGGCCTCTGTGCCACCCAGGGCCCTGGCTCCCACAGGCTTTGTCCTCTTCTGTCTGGCTGGGCCCCGAATCTCCTGGTTTGGACGTCGCTAGGTCCATGTCAGCCCTACGCTCCTGCCTCTTGCAGAGTGTCTGTGCGGACCTCAGTTTCCCTAAGATGTCAGATGTCCATGCAGGCGGTGCCAGGGTGGGTCAGGCCCCTGCTGTGCGTGGCAGTCACCCTACCTCAGGGGAGCTTCCCACGGGCTCCCTCCCTTGCCCCTGCCCTCCTACCTTCTCTGGCTCTCACTCTCCTGCCCTCCCTGCCCTCGGTGGTTCCCAGACAGAGGAGGCTCAAGGCTTGGCGGCCAGGCCCTCTGCTGCCCCCTCCATGGTAGAAATCTGAGAAGCCTGTGGAGAGAAGGCTCTACCCACAGAATCTGGGGGACACAAGCAGGGAACAGGGGCGCCTGTGCCTTTTCTCCTAAAAGCCCGGCTGAGTAATGAAGGCCCAGGTAACGGAGGAGGAGGAAGAGGGCCTTCGGGACGGGAGGGGAAAAGCTGGAGGGACTTTCTCACGGGTTGGGCCTGGCTGGGCCAGATGGGTGAGGCGGCCCCTCCCCGATCCCATCTCCCGGGTCCAGACGGTAACTTCCCTGTCATCTCAGGCTGGAGGGCGGGGAAGTACAGGAGAAGCCAAGCCAGGGAAGGGCCTGGCCCTCAGGGAGCCCCAGTCTCAGGGCAGACACGCAGCCGTGGTGGCCTTTAGGGAGCCCCCGTCTGATGGGGAAACCCAGCCCCCGCCCTCCGGGAGCCTCCTGTCTGATGGGGGAGACCCTGTCCCCCCCTCCGGGACTTCCTGGGAAACAGACACATCGGTCTCCTCTCTCCTCAGCAACTTGACTCTAGAGACAAACTGGTCAGAAAAACAAGAGTCACAGAGGCCGAGAAGGGTCCTGGAGAGCTTGAGTGACAGTCCTCCAGGGAGGCCGCGGGGCTCAAGCTAAGGCGGGAAGGTGGGCTGAGGACTCAAAGCCTGGAGGGGCGTCAGAGCGCAGAGGTCAGGGACGGGTGGGAGGGGAGGAGGCGAGGCAGAGGAGACGAGCTGGGCCTCCGGCTGAGGAGTCAGGACGCTTCCAGAGTCAAACAAAACCGGCCTCCTGGGTGGCTCAGTGGGTTAAGCCTCTGCCTTCAGCTCAGGTCATGATCTTGGGGGTCCTGGGACCGAGCCCTGCATTGGGCTCTCTGCTCAGCAGGGAGCCTGCTTCCCCCCTCCTTTCTCTCTGCCTGCCTCTCTGCCTACTTGTGATCTGTCTCTGTCAAATAAATAAATAAAATCTTAAAAAAAAAAAAAAAAACCTAGTCTCCAGAAAGCCCAGATTTACTTCTCTGTTTCTGAAAACAGCCCCCCAGAACCGGAAGCAGAGACCCACCCAAGACACCCCCCTTTCTCTCACCCCTCATTCCTGCCTCATGCCTCTCCAGGTCTCCACCATTACTGACTGTCTCTCCACCCTCCACCCCAGCCCCTCCCGGGCCACCTGCTTACTCTCCTGGCCCCTCCCCTCCCCCTCCCCCTGATTTTCTCCATCGTCTTCACCTGGCAGCCAGAGGGGACTCCCCAAGCACCGGTGAGATGCTGTCCCCTTCAAATCCTTCCATGGCTTGTCACTGCTCTTGGAAGCCTAAGCAAATAGGGACTGTGGCCCTCAGGCCCCTTACGTTCAGCAAACCCCAGCCCCTGAGGGCTCCACTGTCTTAGCACCTTCCCCAGACCCCGGGCAGCCCCAAACTGTCCTCGGGGCCTTCACCTAGAGCACCTTGCCCTCTGCTTCACCCCACTGTCAGGCCCCCCCAAGTTCTTTGTTCTCTAAAACACCTGCTCTCCCAACATAGCTGCCCACCCCCCAGTCTGCCTCCACGGTGCTTTCTCCCTCCCTCTGGCCCCTTCCCCTCAAGCCACTGCACAGGACGCCCTCAGGAATCGATGGGAGCATTGATGGTGTCACCATTTCTTCCCACGAACAAGCTGTGGCCTCCCGCAGGCCTCAGGAGGGCAGGGATCTTGTCCCTGGGATGCATTTCTGCCTCCCCGCATCCAGCACGGAGCCAGCTCCCAGGAGACTGTCAGGAGGCCCGAGGCGGCCACACACAGGAAACGGCCCACCATCTCCCCCGCCCCACACTCAGAGAAGGGACCGGCTCGCCCTGGGACTCTGGACAGCGTCCCCCCACTCCTTGGCCCTGACCCTCCGCCCTCAGCAGCAGCACGTGGCCTCTCCTGGGCCTCTCCTGGGGCAGGAGCCGGTCGCCCTGGCCCCAGGGCACCCCACTCTCGCAGGGAGGGGAGGGTCACTGCCACACGCAGGCTGTGAAGCACGACGCGGGCTGTCAGCACTGCTGGCGGGAGAGGCCGCTTCCAGCTAGGCGAGAAGCCCTGGGCACCCCTGGGCGAGGGGGGCACGTGCAGGGGAGCGGCCCATGCAGGGAGGGCGAGGGGCCGTGTCTGTAACGGCCGCTGACACCGGTCTACACTGTCATCTGCACAGAGGGGCCACCGCTAAGGTGAGCTTGTTCTGTTCTACTTTTTTTCTTATAATTTTCTTTTTTTTTTTTTCTTTTTTAAGATTTTGTTTATTTGACAGAGAAATCACAAGTTGGCCGAGAGGCAGGCAGATAGAGAGAGAGAGGAGGAAGCAGGCTCCCCGCTGAGCAGAGAGCCCGATGTGGGGCTCCATCCCAGGACCCTGAGATCACAACCTGAGCCGAAGGCAGAGGCTTAACCCACTGAGCCACCCAGGCACCCCTGCTCTATTGTTTTTGAACAGGCTCTGACGTAATACAGTTTCTGGTCTGAGGACCCCTTCCTGCCCCTCGCAGCATTTTGGAAATTAGGCTCACAGAGGAAGACCTTCGCTATTGCTAAGTGCTGTGGACCTCATGAGCCTGATTTTGCTGCTTCGATGCCTGGGCTAAGGGGGGTGCTCTGTGTGCTGCTGGGGGATATGTGGGCTCGGAGCACTGAAGTCACTGATGGGCCAAAGGTGGCCAAAGGTGGCCAGCGCAAAAGGGAAGTGGACATGAGCGGGACAGGGGGCGGAGGAAGCCAACGTCCACCCTGACTGGGTCCGGCCAGCCCCCACCGACACTCCCCAGCACACAAGCCATTAGACTACAGAACGGAGGCTTGGGCCTCAGTTGCTTGTCCGGCATCACAGAGTGAGCCAGTGACAGAACCAGGACAGGACCCCTCCTGATGCCTGTACTCACTTGGCCCCACAAAGCCGTGAAGACGGGGAGTGGGCCAGGCAGGCCCGTTAGAAGGCCCTGCGGTAGGAGACCAGGGCGGCCGGGAGAAGTCCCGGTCGGGGGCCTCGGCTTGAGGAAGGGGGGCAGGCACTGGGGAGATGGCCATGGAGCTTGGGAAGACGCATAGAGCCTTGACCTGAACGTGGAGGCGTGGGGTGGCGGAGAGCTGGCACAGGGGCGTGTAGGTCTCAAGGCCGAGAGAGTCGCCTTGCAGAACCAGAGTCTCATCAGGAGACCCGGTCCGTGGGTGTCGGTGAGCTCATCTGGAACCGTGTGGGAGGCCAAGGCCAGGCCCGGGGTAGCCCACGGACTGGAGTTGGAGGAGAGAAGGAACAATCGGAGGAAAAGTGTGGGAGAAGGTGGGAGTCGGCTCCTCAGGGCCCGGCGCGCCCGCTCAGAGGTCCAGGACCAGCCTTGGAAGCCAGCATCACCGTGCAGGAGGCTGCAGGGGGTGGGGGGGGGAGTGGGGTGAGGGAAGGCCCCTCCCTCCCTGGATCCCAGTGCCCCCTCCTGCGGACACCCTGGCTTCCCACACAGCACTTCAGAGGCAAAGTGGAACTCCTCTTCCCAAGGAGCCAGAGACGACCTGTATTTTTTAAAACATTTTAATAAAATTAACCAATAAATATCCTACACTGTGTAGGCTACAGGGACAAAGAGCGGAAGCCAGAGGGCAGTCTTTCCCACTGGGGCCCTCAGGTCCCCTCACAGAAACAGAGGCTGTGCTCTGGGCTTGTTCGGGGCTGTTGGCTGGGGAGGGGAGTGATTCTGGAAGGGGGGATCTGGGCTCTTGCTATCCATCCCTCTTTGTCGGGGGAGGGGAGATGGAGGGGGGTCCCCCCAAGGCAGAGCCTGGCTGGAGGCATTGCAGCATCCCCAGAAGGGAGGGGGAGTGAGGGGGGTGAGGGGGAGGGGGGGGGGGGGGGGGTGAGGGGAGAGTGAGGGGGTGAGGGGACAGCTAGCCTAGAAGGAAGGGGAGGGGCAGGGAGCCTAGGAGCGGGGGCGCTGCAGCAGCTCTTGGACCCACGGCCGGCCGCTGCTCACTCTCGGACGTATACCCTGGTGCACACGACATCATCCGCCGTCATGGTCTAGAAGGACACAAGTCACAAGTCATTGTTAACTCATAGGTCTCAAGGCCTGTGGTCCTGTGGCTTCAGAGACCAAACCTCCTTCTAGATTCAGGACCAACAGGCAGGAGCTGGCCCCACATGCCCCGGTGTCACAGGAGGGAGGATGGCAATGGAGCCTCAGGGGTCTGTCCTCCACCCTCCTTCCTAGGCCAGGAGGGTCGTAGCCCAGAGGACTGCTGGACCTCCCAGTGCGTGTCCTTTGCTCTACGTGGAAGACCGTGTCCTGGTCACAGAGCGACACTGTGTGGGATGGGGATGGCTTCGTCCGGCCCAGCAGCTCCCTGGGGAGACCAGTGCAGTTGGTCTTGAACCCCCTGTGCCCTGGACTATTCCAGAAAACCCCCGAACGTGGCTCTGGGCCGGCAGGGGACAGGCCTCACCAGGACCAGCTCCCCGTCATTGGTCAGCTCCCTGGTCCAGGAGGTCTTGGGGCCCTCTCCCTTCAGAAGCCTCTGCTCGCAGACCATTTTGTTCTCGCTCTCCCACTTCACCAGGCTCTGCAAGAGAGAGGCCACGTGAGCGGGGCCCACGGCAACGCAGGAGAAGGGCCTTCACCACGGGGAGCGGAGCCGAGAATCCAGGACAAGACTGGAAAACGGCCCGGCCGCGGACGCCGTGAGCCCCGGGGACCCACCTTACAGGGCCTCCCGTCCACAGTCTGCTCCTCAAACTCTTCTCCGATCGTGAAGTTGATCTCCGTGGTGCGCACCGTGGTGGAGGTTTTGATGTAGAAAGTATCTCCCTCCTGTTTGATCTCCACGGCGGGCTTGGATGCCGCAGCCACGGCGATCTTCCTCAGCATCACATTCACCCCTGCAGGGAGGGGGGGAGGCTGGCCTTCAGGGGCGCTCTGGGCCCCCGCTTGCCCCTCCCCACACGCGGCTCTGCAGAGCGGCAGGCCCGGACCCTGGGCTCTCCCAGGCGCCCGCATCTGGCAGGCCTCGCCGTGGCCCGATTCACTTCAGCTGGGGCTCTGCGTCCACCCTGCTTGGGACCCTCTGCGGGCGCGGGCCCATCAGAGTCACTGTCTTCACCCAGGGCCAAGTGCAGGCCAGACCCGCCCTGGCCGGGCCTCACCACTCTCGTCCTGGAAGTAGGGCCCACTTTCCTTCCTGCCGCACGCGCCCCCCCCCCCGCCGGCTGGGGCTAGCTGGGCCTTCCTTTGCCCCATCCCTGTCGCCCTCGGCAGTGACCAGCTGGGGCGGCTGTTCCCCTCTACAGAGTGGCCCCAGCCCGGGGAAGCCAGAGGCTCCACTGGACCCTGATGTCTCCTGGGCTCAGCCTCCCCTGCGGGCCAGGTGACCCTGGGCAAACGGGTGGCATGTGTGGGACCCAGAAACACAGCTCTGGGCACAACTCTTCTTAATCCTGCTATTATTTTCACTGGAAAAGGAAACCAAAGAAAAAGCCAGATCTGAGGCTCAGACAAAGTTCCCTGTATCACACCCTTCCTTGCCAGACCTCCTGTGGGGCTCCCGTGCCCTTCTCCCCGCAAGGGACAGACAGGGACCCTGCTCCCCCCGCCCAACATGTTCCCTACTCTAGGATCACCTTGACCTCGGGTGGTTGGGTCTTCTTGTTCAGCCTCTGTGGATCTGGAGCCCCTGGGGCTGTCCCCCATATTCTTCCCCAAACTGGGCCTCTCCTCTTTGGTCCCCAGTCATGAGGAAGGGTGGGGAAGCCAGGAGAGCAGGAAGACAGGCTCGCAGGCAGGTCTTTCTGGCCGGGGCCAGGCCTAAGCACCATCACCCCACTGCACCTGCCCAGGGACCTCCGTCCCCCCTGAACTGGAGCAGAGACCTTCAGGGAAGCCATGGGTGGGGATGAAGGGGGCAAGCGGGACTCCCCGGCCCTCCTCCAGACCTGAGCTCCTAGACAAATGAAACCTCTTTTCCCTTGGCATTGAAGCAGACCCACTCTGTGCCAGAACGAAGGGAGTGGGAGAGCAGGAGAATGCCCCCAAGAGCCCCCCTTCTGCGCTGTGGATCTCCTGGGTCCAGGGAGAGGTTTTCAGACCCAGGGGCCTTGGCAGAGGAGACACCCCTACCCCACCTCCCCCTGCAGTCCACCTGCCACTGTCTAACTCTTGTCTCTCCTGCTACAAGAGCAGCACGTGCACACGCGCCCTGCCTGCTGCAGTGGGCACAAGGGCTATTTCCCAAAGACCTGAGCATTCCTCCCGGGGGCAGGGATGCTCCACGAGGGCAGAGAAGGCAAGGAAGGGCCGAGGTCCCTGCAGACACTGGGCTGGGCTCTGAGAGATGCCATTCCAGCCAGGGCTGTTTGTCTAGTGGGTCTGTTTTCAATCTGCCCCCAGCAGGGCCCGAGGAAGGCACGTGGCTCTGAGACACCCCGCAGGGAGGACAAACAGGCCAAAGACAGACAGACAACGGGGTTGTGCTTTGGCTCTTCCTCTCCAGCTGGGCCTGTGGGTGTGCCTGGCCACCTCGGGCTTCATCCCCTGGGGAGAGGGGCCAGAATCCAGAGGAGGGGAGGGAATGATATCTAGGCTTTCTGAAGGGAAAATGTTTTGGCATTTAGCTGCAAAGGCGGTGTGGAAAGACAGACAGGGCTAGAAGAAGTCTTGTGGTTTATGCGCAAGAACTAATGGCAAGGGATGATGGAAACACGGCATCCTAGGCCCTTCCAGGGTCCAGACTCACCCGCACACCCAGCTCTGCACAAGGTGTACCCTACTACTTTGTTCAGTCCCTACCCTGTTCAGTCCAGAGATCGAGGCCATGCTTACCCTCAGGCTGCAGGCTCCTGCGTTGGGGGGGGGGGCTTCCCAATTGCTGAGGTCCTTAACTCACTTTCCTCCCTTCCCAGAGCCCTTCCCCGCAGTCCCGCTCTCTGCCCCTCCCCCACACACCAGAGGGCACCCAGAGTTGGGAAAGGCAGTTAGAGTGGGTTTAAGGTTCCCCCACCTTTAACCAACACACCCATCGGGGCTGCAGCAGGTCTCTGGGGAGGGAGGGAGAGGAGAACTGGGATTTTTGGAAATGGGAGGCTGGGGTTTCACACGAAGCCATTTGTTGAAATCTCAGAAAGTGATAATTATCCAGAGTGCCTGAGGATTCTGGAGCTGCCCGCTGAAAGGAAATATTTGTGTCACAGATGGAGAGTGGGGGCACAGCGGGAAAAGTGCCAAAGGGGGAGGGAAGGGGCAACCGTGGGAGCCAGGGTGGCCGAGCACCTGGTGGGTGGAGCCGGGCGGAGGGATAAGGAACCTGTCCCGGGGCCTGGGCTACTGGGTGGGTGGGGGCGCAGAGGCTGGCATGGCTCTGAGGGGCTCCACCGAGTAAGGACCCAGGCCCCCAGCCTGGGGGCGGGTTTGCAGCTTCTGAACTGCCCAGAGCTCCCCAGCCCCATCCCCAGGGATACCGACCTCGTGCTTCTGGTTTCTACTTAATTCACAGGCGGGCCACTGCAGGAGCTGGCATCGGGCTGCGGTGCGGGTCCCCCGCCGGAGAAAGGACCTAAAGGTCCCGGCCCTGAGCCGCCCCCCCGCCCCCCCCCACCCAGGGAGCGTTCGCCTCTCTTCGGCCCCTTTTCTTGGGGATGCAGACACCCAGCCTCCTGCGCCTTGATCCCCGCCCTCCTTTCTTCCTCGCGCCCACCTCCGAGGACTCCCGCGCCGCCCTCCGCTCCCCGGGAGCTCCAAGACCTCCGTACCCAGCACTTTGAGCAAATCCTCGAAGTTTTCGGATCGGATGATCTTCCAGTTGCCGGAGAAGTCGGGCATGATGGAGGCGCGGGTGGCGGTCCTCTTAGACGCTTTGGTTGGAGCACTGCACGCTGAGTCTTTTAGGCAGAAGAGATGTCGCTGTGGCCTCCGCCTGGTCGTGAGACTCAGGACAGGACCGTCGCAGGACAACCCCAGAGCTGGCTGGGGCTCCTGCGCGGGCAGCCTTTATACCCGGAGCGGGCCCGCCCCTGCCGAGAGAGACCGGGAGAGAGAGGGAGAGCTGCCCCGCCTCCCGCCCTGCCCCCACCCCACCTGGGGGGCCCTGAGCCCCGGCTCCCCCGCCTCAGGAACTGGTCCCCCGTGGGCGGGTCCGGCGCGCGCGGGGGCCGAGGCGGCGGGTCCCGCGCGAGGGGTGGCTGGGGAGGCGGCGCCAGGGCCGGGGCGCAGACGCTCAGGTCTCCCGTCCGCAGGGTCGCGGCCGGCGTGCTCCCCGCCCCTCCCCAACCTCACTCCCTCCGCTCGACTCCTTGGCGCCGGACACCCGCCGGACACCCGGCGACACCAGCAGCGGGCGAGCCCCGCTCGGAGCGGGCGCTGGGGACGAGGCTGGCGGCCGGGCTCGGCTCCACGGCGGCCCGAACTGGGCGCAGCGTGCGCGCCCCGAGTCTGGGACCGCCCGGGGAGACCAGGGGCACCCAAGTGGGGCAACGGCGCCCCCTGCTGGAGCGGCTCGGGGGGGGTGGGAGGGAGCGGACCCCCTGCCCGCGCCGGCCTCCGGGGGGTTCAGGGCTGCGGCTGCGGGGGGCTCAGGAAGCGGGCGCCGGGAGACTTCTTCCTCTTAATGGGTCGGGCGGGCATCCAAGGGTTAAGCAGGAGCCCCGGGCGCGAGGCCGGGGAGGGCAGAGGTCACAGCCAATCACTTGACACGAGCTCTTTATTAAGGCGCTTTCTCCGTCGCGCGGCTCCCCGAACCCCCGGGGGATCGCAGCAGGCGGCGGGGAGGGGGGCGGGGACGCGAGGCGCGGAGCCCGGCGCGCCGCGCTGCCGCCCGTGTCGGAGGGAGACGGGGTGCCCCGGGAAGGGGTGGAGCGGGGTCTCAGGTGTCACCACCCCGCGCCGTCCGACGGCGGAAGGAGCGCCCGCCCTCCGCTGGCGGCTTCCAAGCGCGAGATCCAAGGAGGGGGCAGGGCCCAGCTCCCCGCCGAGACCCCTTTGCGGAGGGCTGGGGGCCTGAAGCAGATGGAGGTCAAGCGGGGAGCCCCGGAGACCGGCCGGGAGATGCGAGGCTGCAAACCGCAGAGCGGCGGAGGCGGACCGGGCGGGCGGGCGCTCAGGGGATGTTGCGGCCCAGGTGCCCTCGGCGACGGCCTGCACGTGGCCCCGCGGCCCGCACCGCACCCGTCCCCCCCCCCCGCCCCCGCCACTGTCCCGGGGCTGCGCTCCCAGCTCCCTGCGAGGCGGGGAGGAAAAACCCCACATCTGATCCCAGAGCTGGCCCCTCCCTGCCAGCGTGGCCATGGGTGGAGCAGAGGACAGGCTCACTGAGCTCCGAACCCTTTTTCGTTAGGGCCGTGCAACGGTCTGGAGGGCTGGGGGCCTTGGCTAGGGAGGGGTCGGAGGAATAGAGCCAAACGGTGTGTGTGGGGGGGTGGCTGGCGGCTTCACCAAAGGCTGGAGAGGGCTGGAGCCCCTGGGCTGTGAAGCGGGAAATCTCGGAGTAACCAGTAACGCCTGTGTCCGGGAAACAGTAGAGCAGCTGGGCTGTCCCTGCGCGGGCGGGACAGAGCGGCTGTGAAACAGCGACTGCATGGGCCCCGCGCAGAGAGCCCATCAGCTCTCAGGCTTCCAGAAGGGAGCTGGGTGCTTCAGCTGCTTTAGGGTTCAGGGTTTGTGCGGGAGGGCTCATCTGGGGTGGGGGTGGCCCGGGCTTATGGAAGTAGGAGGGCAGCAGGTCGGAGCTCTTCGAGGAAAGACAGACAAAAGTGGAGGTGGTGGAGGGAAGGGGGTGGTCCTTGGGGGGTGCTTAGGGCCTGTGTTCCTCCCCCACAGGCTGGTTCTCACTGCTGTAGGTAAACGGAGGGGATTAGGTTCTGACAGTGGAATCAGGCTCCCAGCCAAGGGATGAGGAGAGGCTTGGGGGAGGGAACAAGGCGGCTACTCCCGCACCCCCTTCCGCCTTCCCTGCCCGCCTTTCCACCCAGGTCAGTCTGCCCACCTCCTCTTCACATCAGCTTCTTGAGCCCCCAGCCCAGAGGGTCCAGTCCCCTGCTCAGTGGCGACCTTTCCTCCTGCAAGAGAGAAGGGCCAGCGCAGGCCCTCTCCCCCCACAAGCCTGGTGACTCAGGATGTTAAAGCCTCACCCAAAGGACGGTCATCAGGAGGCCAGACCTACAGGAGCAGATGGGGGAGGGGGGGCGTGGGGGGTGTGGTCTGGCTGAGAATCCTGAGGAGGCTGGAAGAGGGGCTCCCTGGGGTGGGGGCAGGGAGGCCTGGGCCCACTCCCCTCCCTTCACTTCCTCACTCCCCCCACTGGCCTGGCGGCCAGAAGTTCCAAAAAGACAGAAGTAAGACAAAGGGAAGTGGGGCTGGGAAGGGGAATTTTTTCCAGATGTGAGTATTTGTGGTTTGGCAGCTCTGGGCCTGAGCCCCAGACCCTCTACCCACCTCCCTCCGCTAGGGCTGGGGTGCAGGGTCTGGGGCAGGGTGCTGGGAAGCAGGTCTCAGCTTCCAGAAGCCCTGGTTGCCCACTGGAGCCTGGGGGCAGGCAAGCGGAGGGGGCTTAGGGAAGATGCAGGGAAGGGGATGGGGTGGGGGACACTGTGGGTGGGACAAGAGGATTGGGGGATGGGAAAGGGGGCTAACAGTGGAGGATGGGGGAGCCAGGCGACAAGGAGGGGCTTAGCCCCTGTCAGTCACTCAGTCACAAACAACTGGTTTCAATTTCCCCACCAGGATCAATGAGAAGGAATTTCCTAGTGTCGCTGGCCTTTTCATTAGGACCGAACCTGATGCAGGTCAGCCCCAGGCAACCCATTCTCCCTTTCTAGGAACCTCGGTCATACCCCTGTCGGGGGCTGCCCCAGGGATTTGGCGACTGGGGAAGGGTGCAGAGTTGGTGAGAAAAGCTGGAGGAGCAGAGGCAGAGCGGGGTGGAGTGGGGAGGAAACAGGCCTGAGAGCTAGGCAAGGAACCTTCTGGGGCTTTGTTCCCATGGCAGTGAGGCTGGGAGGAAAGTGGCTGGCTTTGCAGCAGAAGGAATGGAGGGGGGCACACTTCTGGCTGGGTGGAGGGGTGTGAGCATGAGTGTGCACGAGTGTGTGCATGCCAGAGGGTTGCCCACCCACCCCCCCGCCACTGCCCTGAGGATGGGGCAGGAGGGACCACCTGCCCAGCTGGGGATGGAGAGAGGGGGGGAGTCGTGAACCCCTCCCCCCTCTCCCCCAGCTGGGCCAAGGAGATTCCATGGTCAAGTTCAGCACTGGAGAAGAGCCTCGCCCCAGCAGTGTTACCGCATCTGCTGTTGGCTGGGAGACTGTCAGAAATTGAACCCAGGTGAGGCAGGACATGGGTCTCTCCACTCAGCAGAGGGACAGCAGACTGGGCAGAAGTTCTGCAGGGCCAGGGAGCCGTGGGAGGGGGGCGCTGTTCAGCAAGAGTAGAGTAAGAGCTAGGAGTGGCTGGGGCAGGACAATGGTGTCCCCTGGTCCCCAAGCCCGCAGGATTTCCCGCCGCACAGTGTGAACTCAAGCAGTCTGCCTCATGGTCTGGTCTGACCCTCAGTACAGAGGGGAATGTTCCATTCTTGTCTGTGGGCCTGGGCTTGGGGACCCAGCCCTTTTCTCCCCACGTCAGATTGCTGTTAGAGCAGGGAATGAGGGCTCTCTGCCCGCTGGGAGACGGGGTCTGAGACCTGGAAAGCCAGCAGAGGGCCCCCCTCGGCCCCAACCCCCAGCCAGGGAAGGTGTGGGCTGAGAATCCTGAGTGACCCAAAGGGGCAGCTGGACTGGGAAGGAAGGGACGGCAGGGACCTCCAGCGCCAGCCCCAGGCCATGGTGAAGGAGGCAGGTGTGGCCAGGCAGGGTCAGAGGCTCCAGTGGGAGGAGGGCTGTGGGCTCTGGGAGAAATCACCGTGCAGGCCAGGAGCCGGGCAGCACCCAGGCAGCCAGGCGGCTCCTCTGTTGTTTTTGGCTCTGCTACCTGGTTCCCAGCTGCCAACGCTCTCCTCAGGGCTGGGCCGGGCAGGCAGGAGGGAGGAGGTGCGGACGCACGGGCTGAGGACGTGTCCAGACCGAGTCTTGTCCCCTGTGAGAGGCCCCCAGCTCTGCTGGCCTCTTCCGGGGGCAGCACAGAGCACAGAAGGCCCCTGCCCTTGCTCTTCGACCCCGGGTGTGTGCTTCTTTGTCCCCTGCCTGTGTTCCAGCGCCCCGACTGGTGCTTCCTGCTGGCCTGGCAGAGAGCCTCGCCTCTCCCCACTCACACCGCTGCCCCGTTTTCCCAGCTCGCCATGGAGACAGGCACCGATGTCCAGCAAGCCCAACTCTGCGGTCCTGCTTTTTAGAGAAACTCCAAGGTGGAGAGGGGGAGCCAGTGTGGCCGGCACTGCTGACAGCAACCGCCAGCATCTACTCTGATCCTGGCCGGAGGTGGCCCCCATTTCCCCTCCTGAGGGACTGCCTCCCCCGCTCCCACCCTCCACCAGACGGCATTGCTGGATGGAGAAGTCAGGCAGCACCGTGACCCGGTTAAACGCCTCTTGGCTTTTATGAGCCAGCGACTAGGGCCAGACCCCTCTGTCACTCCTACCCTCTGCCCAGCCCTGGCCCCTTAACCCCTGGCAGCCCAGGGCAGGAAAGGGATGGCTGGAGCTGTGACAAGTTTGGCAGGCTGAACCCCTGGGTTTGCAGGGTACCTGGGGACAGTGGCCAGCCCTGGAAAAGAAGGACAGCCTGCAACCTAGCCCAAGACCTGTTCTGGGGATCCCAAGCCATCTCCCAGATGCCTCCTCTCCCACTCTTTGATGATGGGAAACTGAAGAAGAGCCGGGGGTCCAGGAATCCCTCTCCCCATTGAGATGAGCTGGAGCTTCGGGCAGAAGGAGGAGATCAGCAGGGCTGCAGACTGGCTGGGTGTTCTGTTCCCTCTCCAGCCTGGACTGCAGAGGGTGGGCACCAGGCCAGAGCAACAGACTCCAGGATTGAAGGGAAAGGGG